GGGAACAGAAGACCTCAGCATGGTCCTGGAAGAACCTAACTGGGAGAAGATGTCCTATGGTTCTCAGACCTGCTAGAATCTCGGCAACAGCAGTACAGGAGGGCTATTTGGAGAGAGAAAACTGAAGTTCCATTTCCGTCTTTCACCCTCCCCTGGTGTCCCAGGCAGTGAACTGTTTGAGACAGATGGGGAAATTTGTCCAAACACAGCATGGCTGGTTTTGCACAGGAAAGTTGAGTCCATGGGACTACACAATTCTGGGGAAACCCTGTTTTATCTTTACAAAAATATACTCTCATGTGTAAAATATGTAAAAAGAAATAGAAATAGTGATGGTGGGAAACAGGACCTTATACTAAACGTCCTCTAAAAATGCTGTTATCATGATAGTTAACTCTTTGGTCTGTTGGTGGGTGCTGGAGGGCCATAAAGATGCTCAGAGGGCTGGAGCACCTCTGCTGTGGAGACAGGCTGAGGGAGCTGGGCTTGCTCAACCTGGAGAAGAGAAGACTCCAAAGGAGACCTTAGAGCACCTTCCAGTGCCTAAAGGGGCTAAAAGAGAGTTGGAGAGGGACTTCTGACAAGGACTTGTAGTAATAGGACAAGGGGGAATGGTTTCAAACTGTCTGACAGAGAGGAGGTTTAGATTAGAATTTAAGAAGAAATTGTTGTAAGCGTGGTGTGACTGTGGTACAGTTGTTTATGAAGCAGCTAAGAATCAGATGGATGCATAACTAATTCTGTGCTACTATCACATCAGATCTAATCCTTATCCCCAAGTCACCCAGAACTGCCAACCCTCTCCTTGTCATGTTTTCAGTCAACTAAATCAAACTGGGCAACATATATATATAAGTACATACATATGTGTAATATATCTAAATATATATCATATATAAATATTATATATTTGTATCTCAGCCAAAGGATTTAATTTCCAATTTCTTCACCTTTGAACTGGCATTTTGCTTTACTGAGGCCAACTTTAACGTGGCAAAGGCCTAAAATGAGGCATGGAAAAAATGAACAAAATGGAAAATAAAACAAAAGTTTCCAGCTTAACAACTTCCCCAACTCAAAGGTATAAAAACTGAACAGTGTAAAGAACTTCTGAATGGATCCTTACAAGAGATGGTTCATGTGTGGAGATACCAATGTGGCAGTTACATGGAAAATCACAATCTAGACTAGGGGGTTTTCCCATGGTTTTCCCCAAAAAAAGCATTTGGCTCAGCCGAGTCCTGAGCACACATTTCCTCTCCCTGGCTCCCTGGGGCTGCTCCTTGGCAAAGCTCTCACAGCCTGATGGTAATTCCCAAAAAGCAGCTCCTGAGACAGGCAGAGTGAGTACATATCCTGGAGAAGCCGCACTCGGAAATGCAGAGGGTGGAGAGGAACAGCTGTGACCCCTTCCTGATGCCCCCATACCTCCTGCCTCGAGCCTCAGCCCCTCTGACCAGAGCTGTGTTTGCTGGGTAAGGAAGTCACCCAACAAATCTTCAAGCAGCGATGCTCTTGGAGAAAACAGCTGAGCAGAACAAAAACAAATCAAACTCCTTTCATCACTTTTTCATCACAAAGAGATGCTAAATACAAATCTCAGCACCAGGCTTGCTTGAAGGTTGTGGTCTGAGCAATATGGGGTGAATGGGGTGTTTCAGTGCTACAAAAAGTAAACAACAGGAAATCTGATTGTAGTTATTTAACTTTTTAAGAAACAAGCAACCACACATCTTGAGATCTGGAACAGGCCAGTAATACACAAGGGGTGCAAGATGCTGAGTATGAGAAGCTGTAGCCAGCCACAGGACATGTCCTGTGTGACTCATGGACCCTTGCAGTCTCTTTTGCCTTTTCCAATGTCATGGCACCATGACATGAGGCAAATGACACCCTGAGATAAGCTCAGTTGGTTTGGGCCTAGTGCTCAAAAGCCAAGGTTGTGGGTTCAGTCCCTGTATGGGCAATTCATCTAAGAGCTGGACTTCCTTGGGAGTTCCTTTCAACTCAGAATATTCTGTCAATCTGTGGCTTCTGATTCCCTTTCCAGTACCACTATCTTGACTAAAGCCACCACTGGACCCTTACATCTAATGGCCAAGAAATTCTGATGCAGGGCTGCTCATTCACAGCCCCAGGCACTGCCTATCCTCCAGTGATGGGGTTCAGACTCTCTGTTTCCCACACTGTGGATTAATATCTGTTTTTGTTTGGTTTGTCTTTTTTTTTTCCTTTATTCTATTCCAAGGGTTGCACCACACAATTTGTAAGCCCCAGTCTCCTTCCAGCTGGCGTTGCTCAAACGTTGGTGCTGCCTTGTCCTATCGGCACCCCGGGGTGCTGGAGCTGACCTTGGCACTAAACGCCAGGAAAAGTGAATGAAAGCGGTGTTCAGGAATAGAACTCACGTCTGTAAATACAGCCCTGCAGAGGTCAGGGCTGGAAACAAGGTTGTGCTGAAAGGGCAGCTCCGGCGTGATCCCCAAGAAAGCAAAAGGAAAGACAAGGAATTTTAGCCAGGGGGGATGAAAAGCAGCAGCAAGGGCCACTGTGTATGTGTGTGTGTGTGTGTGTGTGTGTGTGCAAAGCTGTCTCGACATCTCCCCCCTCCTTTTCCCCTGTTAAGGGGGGTCTGCCAGCTCAGGAGTGGCACAGTCTAGCGCAAGTCCTGCCTCCTTCCTCCTCCTCCTCCTCCTTCCTCCTCCTCCTCCTCCCAGATGTTCCCTTGTGTGCAGCCATCTGTTGAGCTCCCTCCTCCCTCCTCCTGCGGGGAAGGGGACAGCCAGCTTGCCCGGCCAGCTGCACGCCTTGGACGGGGAGAAGGAGGGAGAAGGAGGAGAGAAGAAGGGGACAGCCGGCCCCAAGCCCTGCCGGCTCTCGGGGCTCCCGCTCCCGCCGTGGGAACCGGCCCGGCGCTGGGGACCGACCCTGGCCCCGGTGAGTCCCTCCCTCTGCCCCCACCTCCTCCCTGACCCTCGCATCCCCTCCCTGACCCCCACCCCTTCCTTGCGCCCTCCATCCCCTCCCTGGCCCCTGCATGCCCCTTCTGCACCCCCCTCCAAACTTCCCCGGGTGTGCAGAACCGTGGGGCTCATTTTTGGGGAGGGGGGAAGCTGTACCGCGATGGGCTGAGCCCTCGCTGCCCCTCCCCGGGGATGCGAAGGGTCAGCCCCGGGAGTCCCTGCTATGGAACCCTCCATAGCCTCAGAGTGCGAAAACTTTTTTTGGTGGGATGAGTTTTTCCTCGCAGAGAGGTTCAGCGACGGGGGGTGCAGGGTAAGGGGGAAGGACAGAGGTCTAGGGTGGAGGTAAACTACTTTTTCCCCACCTCTGGTTTTTCCAGAGGGGGAACTTTGAGATGCGGTGTGTGCCTACGAGCCCCCAGCCCGGCTCCCCGCCCGGGGTAAAGCGTTTCCAGCTGGAATCCCTTCTCTTCTCGTTCCCCCTGTGGAATGGGGGTTTGTAGAAGTCTCGGGATCGCCACGGCTGCAGAGTAATCCGAGCAGCAGCTGGAGGCTCCGTACCGCCTCCCGTGCCCGGCTTCGGGGCTTTGATTTCACACAGGGCTCCCTGTCTCCCCTCCTCTCCCTCCTCCTCCTCCTCCTTCTCCTCCTCCTCCTCCTCNCTCCTCTCCCTCCTCCTCCTCCTCCTTCTCCTCCTCCTCCTCCTCCTCCTCTCCCGGCCCTCCCCTCAACTCTCGGGAGCGAAGAGAAGCTTTTTGGTGGCTTTATGGTGCTGGGAGGCTCGCAGGGTATTGCAGCTTACTCAAGGTAAGGAGAGAAAGGAGAAGGAAAGGAAAGCTTAGAGGGGTCGGCTGGATGGGGTGAAGAAGGTGGAAGGTGCAGAAAGGAAGGTCCTTTCCCCCCGGGCTGTATTGATAAAGGCATGGCAAATTCCTGCCTGGGAATTTCCCATCTGTAAGTGGATTAAACTGACGGGGAAGGTGTGTTTGGGAAAGGGGGAGAGGAAGCCGAGCAAGATTTATTCATTCTCTCATTGAAAAAAAAAAAAAAAAAAAAAAAAGAATGAAAGAAGATGCTGGGTGTGACTTCTGAAGCAGGAGGTCAGAAAGCCCAGGGCTCCCCTGACAATGCACACACCCTGTAAACTTTTAAGCAGCTCCCAGGAAACTTATTATTAATGCTGCAGTCATTAAAAGGCGCAGCCCACGGCAGATTTATTAGCTCAGTAAACCACAACACGTGCCAGGCTCTCTGGAAACAAAAGGGTCTGTCAACTTTCCTCCTCTTGCCTGGGATTTGGGAAGGCTGGGAGGAGAGCGGTGGGGATGGAGCTGGTGGCTTTTGTCGCGGGGAAGTGGCATCGCCTCCGTTAGCCGACGCTCGCCAGCGCGGTTCGTGAATGCAATTCCGTGGCAGCGAAGACATTGGAGCACGGCTGTAAGGAAAGCACAGCGAACCCTGCTGAGCTCACAGTGCTCGCGGCAGCGGGACGAGCAGCCCCCGGTCTCCCGAATGGAAAGCTTTCCCCGTGTGCCTGCCATGATAAATCAGCTGCCGTTCGCCTGAATAACAGCATTCACTGAAGTTACAGTAGGAAACTTGTCTGGGTGGACACTGTGCCATTGCTCTGCGGAGAGCAGCCGGTGCCGATCGCGGCGTTGCGCTGAAATATCGCATTGATTGCCGCTCCAGAGCTCGGCTGGCAGCACCGGGATATTGCAGCGGCGAGGAGCAGGGCGAACACCGGGAGAAGAGGCGCCGGGGAAAGGCAGGGCTGGACCACCTCGCCGATCTCTCCGCGAATAAGAAGCACGGGATGTGTTAGATGCCGAAAGGACCGGAGGAAGCTGGCACGTCGCTGGGAGGGTTTGCAGGCTAAACTTGGCTGGGGGCTCGCTGTCGGCAGCCGGGCGCTCGCAGGCAAAGCCGGTCGGTGTGTGCCATCGCCCTGGCGCGGGGCATGGCTCCCGTCCCACCGTGACCCGAGGGAGCCACTCCCAGTCCCTGTCCTGGAGAGGAGGTGGGAGGTGCCTGCTCACACGCGGATTATAAATGGCCCGGCGAGGAGCTGCCGCTTCCCTCCTGCCGAGGCGGTGGGTGCGCGGGGTGAGCGATGCTCGGCGCTGGGGCAGGCAGGAGGCTGGGGGGCAGCGCTCAGACGGGTTTTCCCTTGCGGCATCCTGGAGCAGGGCAGACGCTGCTGGTTTGTGAATGAATTTGAGCAGCTGCTGTCAGAGACAGTGGGGAGCAATAACAAAATGCCTGGAGGAAACGAGGACGTGACAGACATCCCAGGGGACGTTAATTTCTGATGGCAGGATGGCAGGAAAGGCTGCAGAGTTGGGGTGAGGGTTTCCTGGACCCCTATTATTTACAACTTAGTGCGAGGAATAAACCGGCATTGAATGGATGAGAGGAAATTGTGAGAAAAGGATAAAAACAGAAGTTTATAGGGGGTTTTGTGGATTTTCTTTTTTATATAGGGAAAAGCATCCAGTGCTCCCCCAGCCACACAGTGAGCAGCAGTGCGTGTCACCCCTGTGCAAGACCGAGCTGGGAATAAAAGGTGAGCCACCGTCTTCTGGAGGTTTAGAGTTTTCCCTCCATCCCTAACTGCTTTTTTTTTTTTTTATCCTCTTTCAGTCTCTCCTCCTTCCTCCTCCTTCTTCTCCTCTTTTGTTAGCTGGCTGGTGGGGAGAAGCAGAGTCTGGAGGGTGGGATGAGACAAGGCGTCCTTGTCCAGCAGCCCCCCTGACCCCTGGCACCCCCGGGCTCTGCACGGTAGCCGCAGCACCGGCCGCCTTGGCAGGCTATCAAAAGAAACTTCCCAACACTGAGATGTTGAGGGCTGGGAAGAGATAAAGCCTGGCTTGAGCAAGCTGTTTCTTGTCTTAAAACTTGGCACCTGGACCTATTGAAGTAAATGTATGAAAGGCTCAGCCATTCATTGCAAGGAAATCTTGAGATTTTATTTTTTATTGTAATTTTTATAAATTTTTGTTGTGTTTTTTTTTTCCTTTAATTTCCTGGGTGTTTCTATCGTATTCATGGTGTGCAGCAAGGGGCAAGGAAATATGTACTCTGGGAATCACCCCAGCCTTCCCGTCTGCTTGCAGACACTGCAAAAGATTAAACCATCCTGGCTGCCTTAGCATGGGACATTCCTGAGTTGCATTAACCAGGCTGGAAATCTCCTGTCAGAACAGCAGCAAACTGGAAAAAAGCACTTTATCTTCACCATAGCAGACAGAGGGCCATGTGCTGTGTGTAATGTCTGAATGCCAGCGTCTCTGGGGTTTCTTTTCCTTCCTCTTTGTCCCTTCCTCATTCTTTTTTTGCATTCTTTTTCTTTTTCTGTGTATCTGTGATGGTGACTCCTTTCCCCTGATTCTTGCCAGCAGCTCAAACCCAGGGGTGGGGAAAGAAATCATGAAATAGTTTGGGCTGGACCTTAAAGATCATCCAGTTTCAACACCCTGGCTATGGGCAGGGACACCTTCCTCTAGGCCAGCTTATTCAAAGCTCTGTCCAACCTGGCCTTGAATACTTCCATGGATGAGGACTGTATTTTCAATGAATGGTTTTTTTGTTTGATTGGGTTTTTTTACTTCAAATAAGATGATCCTCCTCAGGAAAAATTGAGACTTAAACTCCTATTGTGACTGATGGGACAAACCAGATGTGATTCCTCAGCCCCATCATGTCTGAGGTGATACATGTCCATGGGGCTTGTGTCACCTGTCTCCAAGTGGGACAGATCCCTGACCCCAAAAGTGCCTCTTTCCCTCCCATCCTTGAGAACAATGTCTGTAGCAGTTGGCATGGTGAGGCCAAACTGCACAGAGCAGGACAGAGGAGATCCTTTCTCCAAAGCACTTTAATCCTACTGCAAAAGTTCAGTTTGTATCTGTCCAGGACCAAAGCGTTGCAACCGCTTGCAAGCGATCTCCAATTCAACAATTATAGGATCATAGGGTAACTGAACCTAGCCAGTCTCATCCATCCCCTTCCCTCTCCCCTGGCCAGGCTGCCCATTTTGCAGAGGGCAAAGCAGGGCTGCTGATCCTAGAGTGTCCAGGAAGGCAGGAGCTGAACATGGTGCCCAAGGACAGTGGTAAGATTTGGCTGGATCAGTTATGGCAGTGGCAGTGTTGGGTGGGAACTTCTGTGTGGGGTGAGACCCACAGGCCTTGTGCTCCCTTCCCAGTTAAACTGGTGGGAATTAAACCTGGGCAAGGTACCCCCATCCCCACACAGGAGTGAACACCTCTCAGACTTAGTGCTAGTCATCCTTAAAGTGTCAGGAGGGAAACTGAGGCACTTAAATGAGGACTCGGGATAGCATCGGTGGTGAGAAATTGGTTATGCTGGGGAAATGGCTCTCTCAACCCACTTCAGATGATCCTTCTCCAAAATCCTCCACCAAACAAGAGGGACTGGATAATCCCAGGCCAAGGAGGGGAGGAAAAGAGCTGAGGAGATACTGCATGGGGGCAATGAAGCCCCCCCATCTGCAGTGGGAATCATGGTGAGGATGACACACTGCTGGTAAACCCTTCATCAGCTCTACCTAGACCCCTTCCCCTCCCCAAATGCCCCCCTTCCCAAACTTTGTAGGAGACCCACTGAGTCTAGTAAATGTCCCACATGCTTCACTGGGGTGGGGGCAGCTCCCGAAGCCCCAGCTGATGCTCTACCAAGCAGTTTCACTGGCATTCATTGTTTACAGCATCACGGTGCAAGAATTATTGGAGAGGGGGGCAAAGAAAGACCATGAGAGGAATGAGATGGGAGCCTCCAGCTGTGCTGTTTGCAACAATAATGGTCAGGATTGTATTTGTTATCTCCTCAGTGGAGGGTCTGCAGCTGCACGCTGAGAGCCTCAGACAGCAAAGAGGCCCGGAGATTATTGTGCATGGAAAAAAAACCAACCACAAAAATAAATAAAAAGCCCACAAAGAATCCCTGGGCCAGCTGGAGCCGTGCCAAGGGGCACTCAGCTTAACTCCCAGTCTCCTCGTTTTGCCCTTCTCACTGAAGTCAGCAGCCCCGCAGGGCTGTTAGGAGAAGGGAGATTGGCAGCTACTGCCTTTCAGAGAGCTAAAGCTGCATGGGGTCCTCTTAAAATCCTTCTGCCAGGGCTGAAGGCGTTGCCCAGCCAGGTTGAATTTCTTTTCCCTCTGCTTTCTCATGATTTTTTCCAGTGCTGTCTGCACCATGACGAATGCATGCTGTTGGAGGCAGTACTTGGATCTGATCTGCAGCCACCTCTGTTGTAGTGGATTCAATTCTCTTAGAGGTCTTTTCCAGCCTTAATGATTCTATGATTCAAGGAGAAAGAGCTGGAAAGCCATTAGAGATAGGACGATTAGGCTGTGATGAGTTGTTTGCTCTTGGTGGGATGTGTCTCACCGGGAAGAGCAGAGGCATCACCCTGGGATGTATCACCTTCTCCTCCTTCCTCTCTCTTGTTTCCTTCCCCCTGCCTAGCTCATCTTCTCTGGGGGAACCCATCCATGCATACCCATGCAGCATGGTCTCTCTGCAGCACAGGACAGCCCTCTGGGGTGACCGGAAGCAATCCAGATCAGGAATGTGGGGTACATCCATAAGCATCACACCTTTCCCTCATTGACCAGAGAGCTGCTGTTGGTTCTTGGCAACCTGTGCTTCCCTGACATGTAACATGGTGCATGCTATCCCAGGGATGTGCATGGCACGTGGCATTTCCCAGCTTGGCACAGAGACATGGGAGATCAGCTCTTCTAACAGCTAAAACCAAGAAGTATCTGTTGTGGGTAGGAGGTTTCCTCTCCCCATGCTGCACCTCTTAACGTTCCTCGCTGGCATATGGTGTTCATCCTGGAGTGCATTCCTCTGGAATTATATCATGTCTCTGGGAGCTGGAGTGCAGTGAAAAAGTATCATCACAGCAGGAGCCAGTGCAGGAACCGTCTGGGGTTGGCTGTGTCAGGTGTGCATTGCCAAGGACTGAGGCTCCAGGAGAAACTTGCTGAGATAATTTTTGCTTGCAATAATTACCTAGTTAAGAGAGGAGGAGGGTTTAATCCTCTCAAGGTTACTGCTGTGATTTGGGTAAAGCCTGGGTTTACTTGCAGGCTCCCTTCATGCCTCACAAGGAATTCCTGGGCACTGGAGGTGATGGGACAGGTAGCTTCACCAGACCTTTCCTCAGCAAAATGCACTAGGACTGGCATAAAACTCTGTGTAAACCTCTCCTTTGACTATGAAGCACTGTGTTGAAGGGCTGGTCTGTTCCTGAGTTTGTGCCAAAATAACGGAGACCTCCCATTCTGGGACATGTCGCTATGATAAAAATTCTATTCGGGCTGAGTTAGAGATCGTTAAGAAAATATTTGTGTTCTTGGCAGAGATGAAGTCTCCCTTATACTCAGTGAGTGCCAGGATAGTGAGGCCTCCTGCTCCTGGAAATGCTCACAGCTAACAAGCAGAGCGGGGAGGGCGAGAAATAGCAGTTGTTAGGGGTAAAAGAATTCAGGGTCATGCTGGAAGTGATTCTAGAGCAGGAGAAAGTCCTGAGCTCTTACATCCCTTGCAGGCACCTGTTTGACTGATTCCATGCATCCCAGGCTGCTGGGAACCAGTCGAGGCTGCCAAATCTCCCAGTTTGAGTGGTTCTGCAGCTGGAATAGCCAGGAGGCAATGGTGGGGCTGGGATGCTCTCATGCTGTCTGCTCCCAGAAAACCCTGTGAATCCCTCATCGTGCTACACCACTCCAGCACCTGCCTTCCCCTGCCCCCAGCCACTCAGGAGGCCTGGCAAACAATTTCCTTTTGGGAATGCCCCCTCTGGGCACAAGCACAGCTTGACTTGAGGCTGGAGAGCAAAATTGGTTTCAAAAGCCACAGGAGACTAATTCCTCCACCTGGAAATAAACGGCTATTAAGCTGACAGCTTTCTGGGCTGAGCAGAGAAGCAGGAATTTTGTGCAAATCCCGATGCCACAGTGATTTAATTCCTAATTTTCCTGTGCTGGATGTGGCAACAACATTTTCCCACTTGTGGAAAATTGCCTGGAGTTGGGCTGCTCTTCCCTCACAAAATGCATCTTTTCAAGGCACAAAGCTTTTAGTGTGGCAGAAATTCAGCCGTGGATGTAAATGAGCTGGAAGTTACTGTATGGGCTGGTAGACCTGCCTGAACATGTTTTCCTTTTGTCAGATCCCAAAATGCGCCACCCTGCACCTTGATTTCCTCCTCCAGGGGGAATGAGGGATGCCTGAGGGGGAAGATTGCACAAGTGGAATAAACTACTAGCTGTTTAAGCACTAGGATGATAAATTATCTGTGGCCTCTTGCAAAGCAGATGGGAATTCTGACATTAACAGTTGTAACAAAGTTTCTTTTAATAGGTCTTTTTATTTCTTTATTAAATAAGGGATTTTCTTTTTTCATTAGAAAAAAATAGAGCAGAGACTTTCAGCCAAGCAAGCATTTCAGTGCCTTTTCCCAAGTAACAAGCAATAGGACAAGAGGAAACAGCTTCAAGTTGCACTTGGAGATGTTTATATTGCAAATTAGGG